TTTCTCCCCTCTATCCAGCCTGTCCCCTCAGGGACAGAAGGTGCATGAGTGGAAGATGACTTGTCGTGTAGAGGTTTCATTTGCGGGCTGGGGCGGAGCAAACCCTCTGCATGGAAACCGTCTTGGCTAGCAGTGCTGGAAGTCCCACCTCCCAGGAACTTTATTGGAAATTTATCACCAGATTCCACAGAGACACACACAGAGGAACAACAATGCTGGGAGCTCTAACATCAATTGGGCGGTGCATTGGTGCCATAGACTTCCACCTCACATAGAGTCAGGATTGATTCCCGTCCAGGGATGACAATGGTTACGTAGCGGCCCACGGCTCCATTGCAGAAGATGGTACTGAGGGATCCTTTTCGGATGTCTGTGATAGTCCCACAGCTGCGAGGGGAGAAAGAGGGTCAGCCATGTGGTGGCATCCGTTCTGAATGAATCAGTTTTCAGGAAGGGCTAGAAAGTCCTCCCTATGAAGTTGGCATCCCTATGGGTTATTTCTTGTCTAGCTGGCCATCAACATGCTAGAACTCCCGGTGCTCCGGAATTCACTGCCACAGGAGGTGGTGGCGGCTACAAGCATGGACGGCTTCAAAAGGGAATTAGATAAGCATATGGAGCAGAGGTCCATCACAGCACTGAATGAGGGCCAGAATGTCCATTCCAATTAAAGGCCTTGAAACGGTGGGTCAAACCTGTCATTTTAGAGGATTCGTATCTCTTGGGGAAAGTTTGTTCAGAGAAGTGGGGGAGGAGGAGAGCCACTGAGGCATATGTGATACTTACGACACACTGCTTGTACTGATGTCACCCATGCGGTGTCCCACACGGATCGTGGCCCCGCGGATCCTCTCTCCACAGCAGTCCTGCCGGTTTTTCACCACCACCACCGAGATGGAGTATTGTCTGCCCAAGTCCACTGACCACCAAGGTCTGTACTGCCGCTCGGTGTGAGTACAGGTCAAGGCTGGCCGAAGCCCGTTACAGTTCCCGTCCACAGCAGAGCCAGACGCTCCACTGTGTGGGTGTGTGGAGGACTGGGAGGTTGGCCGACCTCTGGCCAGATTCGGGCCTGGAATTATGGATGACAGGAGGAGGAGGAAGAAGAGGGGACAGAAGCGGTCATCAGTGCCTGTTTTCTGTGGCAGCCTCCAGGTGGGGCCTGGAGATCCTTCGGAATGACAAGCAACCTCCAGGCTACGGAGGTCAGTCCCCCTGGAGCCGTTTGGGCTGCTTTGGAGGGTGGCCTCTATGCACTATACCTAGGCTTCCCAACCTCCAGGTGGCACCTGGAGATCTCATGCTATTGCAGTTGATCTCCAGGCTACGGAGATCAGTCCCCCTGGAGCCAATGGCTGCTTTGGAGGTTGGGCTCTGGGGGGGTCAGAAACATGCAGGGAAACACAGGCTGCCATTTCTCAAGGTCTAAATCATCACCATGTGACTGGTAAGTAGCTCACTTCTCACAGCCTGGCAACGCGTGAGACAAAGTTTTACCTGCTTCTGTACCTGATCAGAAATTTGGGGCGTGGGGGCTGTGGGTCTGGACCTCCCGGAGGATAATGCCCAGTGGAAAAGAGCAAGAATCCCAGAGCACCAGAAAGACTGACAAAATGTGTGGTGGGGAGCAGCTTTCTGGAGTTACCGCCCTGAGCCCCCGGGTCCCACCTGGAGAATGGCATCCCTATCTATGGCTGACCTTTGTCACGGCAGGACCAGGGGGCGTGACACAAGCAAGCAAAAGTGCAGGAACAGTCCGAGGTCAAGCTGGGCAAACCAGGTAGCAAGGTTCAAGCAGGTTTAAATCACAGTCCAAAAGCAGGGTCAGACATACCAAAGTTTCAAGTTCATAAATCACAACAATACCAGAGGAGTCAGAGATGAACGCAGGGTCAACAAAGCCGAAGGTCAAAAGCCGAGGATCAAGCCGAGAAGAATTCCACAAGGTCTGGAGCAGAGATGCAAGGATTCAGGTCCTGAACAAACGACGTTGCCAGCACAAATGACTGCTGGCAACAGACTTGCATACATACAGTGCTAGCTAATCAACTCATTAGCTAGCCAGGAGTGAGGACAGGATCCTGTCAGTAATCAGGGCTAAGAGATCTTCTGGCACGCATGCGTGCATTCTGCCTTCGCTCTCTCAGCTGTTGTCTTCTTACATTCCTGAGCCTGGTTACAGGTGGAGGCGAGTCTGATGATGAATTATTGGGCTGCAGCAGAGACTGATCCCTTGCAGGTGTTCCCTGGGAGGCTCTATCCTCCTCACCACTTAGATAGCTTTCAGCTACAGGATCCAGTCTTTGCCTTTCTGCTGCAGTACTGTCCTCAGGAGCCTGTTCAGGGGCATCAGCAAAGGCAGGCATGACATCAGCAGGGGCAGGCATGACAACCTTCGAATTCCACCCTGCATCATGGCCTCAAGGGGCCGGCCAGGACAGTGGAGCAGCAATGCAAGGCCTCCCCCAGGAAATGACCCCTGGTCTCCAGGAAGGGAACAGCAGCCGCCTCCCTGATTCAGGCTGTACCTTGGATGGAGTGGTTGTGTGTGTGTGTGTGTGGGGAGGGGGTTATAACAAGTCTAGTGGGGCATGGTGGGGGGGAGGCAGACCACCGGAGATGGACTGGGCCTCGTGTCACTCAGAGTCTTCTGCTCTGCGCACCAGTGGAGGAAATCCTCAGGAGTTCCCTTTGTCACAACACCTGAGTGTGGCAGAAACCGGAACACCAGAGCTCCAGTGGTGGACTCCCTTTTGTGGTGGCTGCAGCCCAGCCTTCAACCCCCCCCCCACACACAATACCCTGTCGCTCACCTCCAAATTCTTGCGTGCAGCTGAAGCCCTCCCCGCGCCCCACCAGCAGCCCCAGGGCCAGCATCCAAGCCCAGAAGACCAGCATCCTGCAGGGGGGGGTTGGGGGGGAGAGGAGGCAATGGCTACGGTCAGGTGTCAAAGGAAACGGGGCTGGACCGAGCTTGGACACGTTGCTGTGCTCCCTCCTCCCTCGGCAGAGCCCCATCCAAAACTGCTCGGTTGGATCAGCCTCCAGCTCACCGTGACTTCCGAACTCGGAGACCTTCCCTTTGTTTGTCCTCTCAAAAGTGGGATGCCGGACCTCTGCGTAATCCCAGTCTGGCATCCCAGCTTGTGGGGAGTAAAGGGACTTTTGGGTTGGCCCAAATCACCTCCATCACAGAGTACTGGAGCTCCATCATGCGAGGGAAGTTCTCAGTTGAGCCCTGTGCAGGAAGGGAGGGAGGAGGAGGAGGGTGGGAAGAGGAAGGGGACAAGCTGGCTGCTCCTATCCAAATGGGGTTTAATCTGATGTCCAGGGCTCTTTTTGTAGAAAAAGCCCAGCAGGAACTCATTAGCATAATAGGCCACACCCAACCACAGAAACTCATTAGCCTATTAGGCCACACCCCTGACAGCACAGCTCATTAGCACATTAGGCCGCACCCCCATGTTACCAGAAGTGTGCTCATCCAGCCACACCCACCTTTTGCTTCTTATTCTTTTTACCTTGTTTGTGGTCAAAACCCAGGGCCTTTTTTTGTAGCAGGAACTCCTTTGCATGTTAGGCCACACACCCCTAATGTAGCCAATCCTAATGAGTTTCTGCTGTTGGGTGTGGCCTATTATGCTAATGAGCTCCTGCTGGGCATGGCCAACTCAGAAGCTGAAGGGGCCTTTGGCCTGATCCAACATTGGCATCTCTTATGTTCTTATGTTCTTATGTTCAGGTCTCCAGGCGACTGAGAGCCCTGACTGGAGGGGCCCTGAAGCAACTTTCTTTCTTTTTTTTAATGAGTGAGTTGTTCAACAAAATTGATGGAGTTTTTTTTTTAAGAGTTAGTTATTAAAATAAGGCAGTTGTGGTGACAGAATCATAAGCCAATGGGTTGAACTACTTAATATTGACCTTAGAATATGCTCCAATACCCATTTCATGTGGCCTCAAAGTGTCCCTGCAACTGGTCAAATTTCAAAATTTGCTCAGGGGCTTGCGTGATCTTTTTTTTTTAAATTGTGGTGATCTGCCATGGAACAACCCCATTGAAGAAGATAACAGTGGTTACCCAGACCTCCTTGCTGGTGGGAAGGGGCTCATTGTATGGCCCATTTTTAGGGGCTGTAGCCCACCACCCTGTTCTCCGCCATTTGGGCCTCAAGTTCCTTGCAGGGGCGGCAAGGCCGCTTGGATCTTGTTGGTTGTTGCCCTGTTGTTGCTGGCTGAGACGGGGGCCCCAGAACAGTTCGAGCTTTGGGGTCCCAAACATGTAGACCCACCACTGCCCAAATCTCCAGGGATTTCCCAACCTGGAGGGCTACCTCGGCCATTCAGGTCAGGGCTAACGAAAGTATAATTGGAACACCAGCATCCAAACCGGCTGCCTCCCCCATCAGTGCTCAGCTGCGGCTGAGGCTTTGCTTTGGCTTGTGGGAAGACTTTGATTTCAGCAGAAGTCTCTAAAAACAAAAGACACTCTGAAAAGTTCCCGTGGATGCCAGGACCACTGTAAGGTCCTGTTTCAGGAAGTGCAGAGCCACAGGTAAAGGAACGAAGCAGAGCTCAGGGAATTTGTTGAATTAAACCCCTCTTGGTTTGTGAAGGAGGTGAAACCCTCCACCCTCCCTGTCTGGGGGGGCCCCTCCACTGTCACGACTTCTAGCAAGTGAACCCCTCGGCTTCCATTGCAAAGAGCCCAGGGACTTTTTGGGGAATAATCTGGCCGAGGGTGTTCCCGTTTCCTTTGTTTTGGACACTAGAACTCCCATCATCATCCTGCAGTTGCTGGCCAATAAAACGGCCAACAGAAAACAGGAGGAGGGGATGCTGGAGCCAAGCAATGGAGTTTTCATAGAATCATAGAGTGTTAGAGTTGGAAGGGACCTTGCAGGTCGTCTAGTCCAACCCCTTGCACTCTGCAGGAGCAGAGTCGGAAGATAGCCCTACGACATACCCGAAAGATGGTCGTCCAGCCTCCGCTTGAAAACGTCCAGCGAAGGAGCATCCACCCCCTCCCGATATTCACGTAGCGGCGCACCCCCCCCCCCCCCGGCCTCCTCTAGCTGCCTTCTGTGGCTGTGCTTGTGGATTCCCAGCAGGAACTCAGCCGAGCTGTGGGCAAAGAGGTTTCCTTGGGTTAAATGCCCTCTGGCGCCATCCCCCCTTGACTGGATGCCCTGCTGGGGAGGCTTGGAGTCACCCCTCCCTCCCCTGCAATGGGACAAGCATCCTTCTCCGGGCGAAGACACTTCCCTAGCAAGCAGCCCAGGGATGTTCCAGAGTCTCTCTGGGCCAGGGTGTTCTCCGTCCCAAACGATCATCCCCAATGTGGTGGCCAGTTGGGAGGCACATGGCTTGGTTTTCTAATAAGCTATGCCTGGCACAGACAGACAGGCACTCCTGTCATTTTATTATTATTATTAGAAGAAGAGGAGAGGAGATAGGATTTATACCCCGCCCTTCACAACCCAAAGGTGTCTCAGAGCGGCTTACAAACTCCTTTCCCTTCCCCTCCCCACAACAGATGCCCTGTGAGGTAGGCGGGGCTGAGAGAGCTCTTTTGAGAACTGCTCTTGAAAGAACAGCTCTGAGAGAACTTGTGACTGATCCAAGGTCATCCAGCCAGGTGCGAGTGAAGGAGTGGGGGAATCAAACCCAGTTCTCCCAGATTAGTCCGCGCACTTAACCACTACACCAAACTGGCTCTCAGATATTACAGATATCATGCCCACCGTGTCCCTCAAACTCACCTTGATGTGACCGTTGCTTCTTTCCCTTGGCACACTGGCAATCCCAGCTTGGTGTGACCGGGCTCTCGGGTCTCCTTCCAGCCTCCCTGATTTTATCCTCTTCCCAGTGGGCAAGTCCTGCTGGACCCAGCCAGCCAATCACAGCAATGTCTGTTGCTCAAGACCCAATCCAGACAGAGCTTCTGCCCTCCCCTCTGGCTCCGTCTGTGGGCTTGGCCAGTAGCCAGGGTCAAGTCTGTTTGCCCAAAGCCTCTGGACCCGGGATGACCTTCCCTCCCCCTTCCCCATCCCTCTTCCTGGGTGCTCTAAAAAAAAATTTCCCTGCAGGGGGAGAGGGGTCACCGCTCCTTTGCAAGTGCCAAACAATTTGCAGAAAAGATACTGGGCATTCCTCACAATCCCACAAGGAGGGCAAAACACTGCAAATAGAATGTGTCTTGATCAATGCTCCCTCTAAGCTGTGGAGTCCTGTGAGCAAAAATTCTACTTTGTGAGTGACTGACATAAAAGTTGTGAGCGAGCGATTTGGCTACTGCATAAATTAGTTTGCTCTGGAGCCCCATCCTTCCTGAGCTGAGACAAAAATCTGTGAGCCGGAGGCTAAAAAGATGTGAGCTAGCTCACACTAACTCAGCTTAGAGGGATACCTGGTCTTGATCCAGGCCAAGTACCACCCAGCACCCAAATAAAGATTTCTAAGGAATGCTGAGGTGAAGAGGAGGGCCCCTGTGTTGTACCAACAGGAGACAAAGCATCACGTTCCCTTCAAAGCTGTGGTGATCTCAGGTGGTTCCTCTCGAGGATTCCAGTGGTTCCGCCACCATGTCCTGTGAGAAGGGCCTCGCCCTGTGATACGTTTCACACCCATCGGTAGCAGTGTGGGTCCCCAGTCGGGCAAAGAGCAGAGCCACTGGACTCTATTTGGTCACACAAAAACTTTTATTCCAATGCATTCTTCTGACAAATAGCCGTTGAGATGATTTTAATGTTTTATCCTGGCACTTGTTGCCCTTGCTGTGAGCCACTCTGAGCCCGCTTGCGGGGAGGGCGGGATAAAAAATGTGAGAAATAAATAAATAGATAAAAACGCACAGGGAGAGAAAGCGTAACCCACCCTCCCCTTGCGGCCCCATCCCAGTCTGAATTGGGACCTCACGCGCCTGCTTCTACAAGGCAGAAACAATGCCAGGGGCTGTGCTTGTGGACCAATCCGCATCATCCCTGGTTTGGGCCCTAAACGGGTATGACTGTCAGTGCGTTCTCCCCCCATGAAGACTCGGAATCAGGATGGTGGGATGAGGTCAAGGGCCTCTAAAGGGAAATTGCAATGTTTGCTCCCCTCAGTCATCTGGAGGCCCCTGGTCAGCAGAGCCCATTTCAGCTTGACACAGAGAGGTTGGGGGGTTTTTTGGTCTCTGATTGGAGGAACTCATTCCACACGTTCCATCAGGCCAATCAGCAAAGCTGCAAAGACACTGGAGATCTGCACGTCCCAGAGTCCTCTGCTCCCTCGTTAAGGTTGCCAGCTCTGGGCTGGGGAATTCCTGGAGATCTTGGGGGGGGGGTGGAGCCTTCTCACAGCAAGCTTTGCGGGGGGGAGGGACTCAAGTGGGGGTGGCCAAACTTGCTTAACGTGAGGGCCACATAGAATAAAGGGCAGGTGTTTTTAGAGCCGCAAGACAGGAACAGATATCACACACACGTTTTTATTGAAAAAATATGCAAATTTCCTTTTGTGGGACAAGGGGGAAAGAATGTGATTTCTGAAAGTGATTTCTGACACTCTCTCCTTGAGATACACACACACACGGGTCATTTCGTAAAAAAATAGGTGCAGGAGCTCATTAGCATAACTTATTTGCATATGCCGCACCCCCTGACATCACCGGAAGTGTGTCAGAAGGCAACACCCACCACTCAGGCTCCACTGGACTGTTTTTGATTGCTAGCTATTGGGAGGGGGGAACGTGCAGATCTGCCCTCACAGAGGAGGGAGAGCTTGTACCTGAAGGGGGGCGGGCTCTGCAACTTACCTGGCTGCTTCTTGCTCCTTGTGGCCCGACTGAGGGCTGCTGGGAGTGGGGGGCGGGGCTTGTTGCATGTGCCCGCCCCCTGGGCTCCTTACTGCCAGAGCTCCGCTCCTGTGCGCTCCCGCAGGAAATGACCCCTGTGTATGTATGTATATATATATGCTGACAGCTGTCATTGTGCCTTTAAAAGTTGAATCATAATAGATTCAGATCGTGGTATGTAACCTAGAACTTTCTGATTAGAGAATCTTATAGCAGAACATATTTTTTAAAAAGATATTTTATAAATGAGACTGCCAAAAAATAAAAACAAAAAGGTGTGTAAAAAGAGAGATTGATAACAATATTTATTTCTCCCATAATATTTATTTGTTTGCCAATGATATTTATTTGTGTACGAGAGAGAGAGAGAGGTGAAAGGAAAGAGAGGGGGAGAGAGAAGCAAAGAAAACAAATAGAGGGGGGAGGGAGGGGGGGAGGGAAGAAAGAAAATAG